TCCCTGCTGCACTCTTACTAATACAGTATCCATATTTTTCACAGTACACTCTTCAAATTACGATATGTTCTGGAATTAGTCCTAAGGCAGGGGCTTGCCCATCCCATATAATTTTATTTTGTTTTAAATATTTAATTTTTCTTGTGTTGCAAGAAAAAACATACTTTTAAAAGAACTGTGCAATTAACATATGAGCATTGCAGAATTGCAATTGGTAGACTTGCCTGTAACAGAGTTTGGTGATAGTGACTCCTGCTGTTTTATAAAGGTATGAGAGAGGGTTCTTACTAGGATAACTAATAAGCCTTAACAAACCCATCTAAACGTTTCTTTGCTTATATAGAATTGTATTTCAAAAGACACTTATGAATAGTAACTATGGGCAATATATTCCTGCTTTATGTGCTATCACACAAACAGTAGGAAAAGAAGGAAGTCTCTATTTGCAATGTAGAAAAAATCCACTTTTCTGCTGTGTCTATATTGGGGTTCTGCGTTTGTCATTATTGCCAGAGTCTACAGGAGACCTCATTTCACTTTGTCCTAACAACATGATCTAGAATGCTGTCTCTTCTCTTCAATAAGGCAGGCTTTTTTTCATTTCTTTTCTCTGAAAAGATTCATAATCTACAGCGAGTATACTTGTTAGAGAGTGGATTGGAACTCCAGCAGAAACAATACATCTTTAATGAAATTTTTAGAAGAAATCCGGTACAAATCTGTCTTCACTTCTTTTCTTCTTCATTTACATTTCACTACAGATGTTCATGAAAAAACAATTCCTTCTAAAACATCTGTGTATTTAAGCCATTCCAGGAAGCATAACATGCTAAGCCCAGCAGACTGCAGATGGAGAAAAAAGGCTCCTGATTTCATTTTAAAAAAACCCCAAGCCTTTTTAAACATCGTGCAAAAATTATTTTTCATTTGCATACTTTCTAGGTTATAATAGCCACCATGTGGTGGACTTGTTGTAAGTCTGTAATGATATTTTTTTCTTCCAACAGAGAAGTGTTAGTGGATGCTGCTACTTAATTAAAAAACAAAAAATTGGACTTCTGGAGGTTTTATTTTTCTATGTGGTTAAATCCTGAATTGCTCTCAGTTGTTTAAGTAGGTTGAACTAGAACATTATGAATAGACCACAGTATTTGCAATTAATGTAATTGTAAGAAGTTCTGCATTATATAGTAGTTAATATGCTTAAAATTTTAGCAAAAAATGATAGAGGAATGTTTAAAACTCTGAATAGTTAGCCAGTTAGATTGCAGCATATACAGGCATTACTCCTTTCTTTCCACATGCTTGTATAGATTTTTATAATAACTTTGTTTATAATTTGCCCCCTACAGAAGCGCACTGTGCTAAAAATCTCAATGGCACCACTTAAAAAAAAAACACAAAAGACAGCTATCAAAAAGTTTAACAAATAAAAACACAGTATAAAAAAGGGAGGAAAAAAGCAATCAATACAGGGCCACAGTAGCAAAAACATATTTTATAAATAAGCAAAACATCTTTGGATTTTAAAAAGGTGTGTGATACTTTCTAAAACTGGAGAGAGATGGAGTGAGATTCTTTTTCTTGAGGGGGAGGCAAGTTAGAAATCCATACCTTAGTAGCTACCACAGCTCTGGCCCAATCCCCTCCCAGTTAAGACAGGGTGGTGGGAAGTTTTGACAGTGGGTGGTATCTGAGCACAGATACTCATTAAGTCAAGGCTGAAGGAAGAAGTCTCAACTATCGCCAGGGTCTACTAAGGGTTTTAAAAGTCAACAGTGCCAAATTAAAATCAATCTACTAGTTTATAAGCTGCCAAGGTAAAGAATGCAAGGCGGGAGTAATGTGATTATGGTAACTCAAGCCAGTGAGCAAACATGTTCCTGTACTCTGAGTAATCTGCGGCGTAGTAATATATGTAATTGAAGTACGCGGAACATTCTGTCTTAACACACAGGATGCAAATGAAATCTGGAAGCATTGTAGGAGTGATGATAACCCAGATATTTAGGTGGAGCTTCTTTTTTAAAGAGCTCTAATATTTCCAAGATTTGTGGTGGGAACTTGAAATTTGGCAGGAGACTAGTCCTGTTATGAGGAAGGTGCCTTTTTGTGGCCCCATGGAAAACCATTCTCATGTGGCCAAGTTATTTACTACTAAAAATTGTCATTTCTCATCTGTTTTTTTGCTCAGTGCAGCTGGCTCCTGGCTTGCCATTACAACACTGAACATTATGTTAATGCTGCGCATTCACCCACCCTAGTGCGCTAGGAGATTAAATGGATTCTCATCCTACTGCTGACCTCCCCATGTCCCATGAAAATACCTTTTGCTAGGTATTTTCCTAGGGGATGGTGCACTGGGCTGGGACTTTGTATGTGATGCTGGGCAAATCACTTCAATCAAAACTTTCACACGTGGTCACTAACTGTGTGTTCCTCATCTTCTAGATGTCCAAATTTAAAAACCTGATTTTCAGAAATGCTAAGCACTCACAGTGATAAATGAAATCAGTGGGTGCTGTGGATGTCAGACCCTCTGGGAGTAAAGGCTGTATGGTATAGAGTGCTGGGATTCAGGAGGTCCTCAGTGCTAATGCTGGCTTTGCTATTGTATATGTCTACATGGCTAAAAAGCCTCTGCAGCTGGCCAGTACCATCCTGCTCTGACTTGGGCTGCAGGGCTTTCAGTGCTGTATAGACTTCTGGGCTCAGGCTGCTGCTCAGCTCACTGGGCTGCATGGCAAAACCTGGACAGGGCTAAACTGTGTGCTCTGAACATTTCTCTGGAACTGGTGCAAATGCAGGGACTAGGGGACTGTTTGGCAAATTGTGTGTGTGTTAGAGGAGCCGGTGAGCAGAAGGCATGAGAAGCAGTTGTGAGCAGAGAGACAGAGCTCCTTGGGCATAGACCTGACTGGAAGGGCAAACTTGGAAACCAAGAGTAAGAAACTGCTTGCTCTTGTTTTTTTCTACTGTGCAGGGAAAACAGTGTACAGTCTTTGTAACTAAACAGGTGTGCACCGAAAAACACACCTGACTCATCTCATCTCTCTCCTCATTAAAACAGCCTCGAAGGCCCTGGATATTGGCTGACCACTTGAGCCAAAGGGGCAACAGTACTTAACTTCCTCACAGGGGAGTTGTGAGGATTAATTACGTAATATCTGTACAGTACTTTGAACATGTGAAGTGCTATTTAAAATCATTAAATACTCTGAAAAATCAGGTCTTGGTGTCTCAAGATAGGTACCCAAAATTATTGGAGATTTTTGCAGATTTTGGCCTTCATCTCCCTGTATCTCAGTTCTTCTGTGAAAACTCTACCTACCTCTGAGGGGTGTGGCAAAGATGAGTTCAAATTCATTGGGCTCAGACAACTTTTATTCTGGCACTTTACTAATTTGTGAGGGTCTCATTTTGTAACCTCAATAACATTGTCTTAATATAGTCATGGTATTTTTGGTTATAATAATTTTCTTATAAACCATTTCAATTGATCAAGAATACTTACAAATGCAAATGTGTTAGTTAAAAATGCACAATAGCTATATAGTACTCAGGCCCAGGCTAAACTAGGCAATTTTTTCACCAGTGCAATTACATTGATGTTGGTTACACTGGTGCAAGCCTGTAATGTAGATATGCTGCATCAGCACAAAACTGGGTTTTCATCAGTGTATCTTACTTCGGTATGCAGCGATGTAACTGAACTTTGTACCAGTAGTGGTTTGTTGGTTTGAATTACCTAACCGTACGTGGGGCCTCAGTTAAGAAATGTTTATTCATGTATCATAGATTCATAGATACTAAGGTCAGAAGGGACCATTATGATCATCTAGTCTGACCTCCTGCACAACGCAGGCCACAGAATCTCACCCACCCACTCCTGCGAAAAACCTCTCACCTATATCTGAGGTATTGAAGTCCTCAAATCGTGGTTTAAAGACTTCAAGGAGCAGAGAATCTTCCAGCAAGTGACCCGTGCCCCATGCTACAGAGGAAGGTGAAAAACCTCCAGGGCCTCTTCCAATCTGCCCTGGAGGAAAATTCCTTCCCGGCCCCAAGATGGGGATCAGCTAAACTCTGAGCATATGGGCAAGATTCACCAGCCAGATCCTACAGAAAATTCTTTCCTGGGTAACTCAGATCCCACCCCATCTAATATCCCATCACAGGCCACCTATTTACCATGAATATTTAAAGATCAGTTAATTACCAAAATCATGTTATCCCATCATACCATCTCCTCCATAAACTTATCGAGTTTAATCTTAAAGCCAGATAGATCTTTTGCCCCCAGTGCTTCCCTTGGAAGGCTATTCCAAAACTTCCTTAGGGCATGATTCCAAAGAGAATAATTTAAAAATGATCATGACAACCTGACTCAAGTGAGAACCTGCTGAAGTGCCTGAAATTGACCAGTCGGTGAGCACAGTTGTTTTAGGGCTCTTCTGCCACAGGCTTGTGTGGATGGTGGTGCAGATGCATGCTACACTATTGGGCGATCCAGGAGCCATTGAAACGGGCTTAGACAAAATGCCTTTCTGGAACTCTGGTGGCTCTGATCATTGTCCTTCCTTCCATGTGGAACCAACTGTGGATTGATGAGCATAGCCCCACCTCTTTTGGAGAAGCTAATGCTATTTAACTAATTGGTCCATTGCTCACTAAGTACAGGGGCTCTGATTGTAACCAGCTCCTGCACAGGGCCACAAAAGTTAAGCCAGAGTCATCTTGTACCACACCCCCGAAGAGGCTAGCCATAATTTAGCATGTACTCTCTTTTAAATTTGGAATGAGGATGAGTGGAGTGACCTGCCCATCGTAATGCAGGAACCATTTGCACAAGGAGAAATGTTCTTTCATTGTTTTGTTAAATGTATTAAAACACATTAGCATCAAGGTATAACAGTTTCTGTTTGGCACATTGTGGTATGAAGGCTTTGGGTGGTCAGATTGCGTGCATTCACTTCTTTTTTCCTTTCGCTTCTCAACAGCAGCAACAGGAAATGCTAGCAATGAAACATCAGCAGGAGCTCTTGGAGCACCAGAGAAAGTTGGAGCAACATCGACAGGAACAAGAGCTGGAGAAGCAGCATAGAGAACAGAAACTACAACAGCTAAAAAACAAAGAGAAAGGAAAAGAAAGTAAGTAGCAGCAAGATAGTTTATTTCAGTGATGGAGTTGACAGTAGGTGAATAGACTCGTGCCCATGGCACTCTGTCTTACACTGTGATTGTACGAAGACAGTTTACAAAGCTCATGAAACATCCGTGGCTCTCTGCATACAGAGACTGGTTGCATGAAATTCTCATGTTAACTGTGAGACGGGATTGAGAATAAAGAAAAGATGAAACTGTATCCGAGCCCTCAATTTTGTTTTTTATATACATAAAATAAAGTATTTCTTTATACCTTACAAAGTATAGTTTGCTCTTGCGTATGTGATAGTACCCAAGGAAAAGTGTGCAACAAGATGCAGTAAAATTATTTTTTTCTTTGAGAGGTGTCCCTGTGGGTGCTCCACTGTTGGTATCGGTGTGCCCCTGCACCGTTGTTCAGAGCTTTTTACTGTAGTACCCGTACCAGCTGCACATGCACGGAGCCTGCCTCACTTACCAGTCTTGTCTTAAAAGTGCACATGCACAGCTGAACTCCTCTGTTCCTTCTCTACTGTCTCCGGCCGAAGTCGGACCTACAGCAGACGCTTTAAAACTTTTTCTCTTACCCATTCTACAGTCTTTTTTCCCCTTAGTTTAGCACTCTAGTTACTAGATAAGTTCATCCCTTTAAAAAAAAAAAAAATTGTTCCCGCTTGTCCCTCCAGCCAACACTAAAATGCCTGGCTCCCCAGAATTTAAGCGGTGCACTACGTGCAGGGATGTCATCCCTATCTCGGATGGTCACTCTCAGTGTATAAAATGCATGGGGGAGTCCCACATTCCTCAAAATGTACCCATTGTTCCAAATTAAAATCCCGGACATGTAAAGACAGAGAACTCCGCCTGAAAATGATTCTTGGGCAGAAGTCACTCGGACCTGCTTCTCACCCAGGTACAGGCTCCCCAGTTAACCGCAGCCCTCCCGCCTCCAAAAAGGATGAAACAAGAAAATGGCTGCCTCCCTCACCCAGAAGGGAAACATAAGCAAAAAGATTGCTGGGCAGGTCTATTTCTTCTATGCAGACCTTCCCCGGGCTCAGCACCTTTGATGCATCGGTTCCCCCAGCATCGCGCTAATCCCGCCTGTGGCTGCGGCAACAGAGCAAGTTCCCAGTGCCGAGGCTTCAGGCTTCCAGTTGCCTGGCTCTCTCATGGCACCATCTGGCACCGCAGTGGACACGGTGCCAGCACAGATTACCTTGCCGGGAGAGACGCGGGCTGCACTTACCTCCCCGGCACCACCGACCTCAGTGCATGCATTGAGCGCTACGGTGCAGAGAATGTCGGTGGCGACCAACCCTCCAGTGCCGCAGGCACTCCTAGCGGAGGGTTTATCTCACACAGGCTCTCTGGCACTGCAGTTCATTCATTCACCGGACCTACAGGTGTCACCTAACCTACAGTCACCTCTACTTGACACCTGTTTTTCTCTGGACATTCGCATGCGGTCCGGACACCTGTCTCTAGCTTTATCTCACTTTTCTACTGATGAGGAAACCATAGTGCAGGGAGACTTTTCACCATACCAGTTCTCTGTCTCAGACCCAGATCAGCACTGGTCACAGAAAATCTAGGTCTTCGCTCATCAAAGACCTCCCTCCCTGGTATACAAACCTGTGGATGGTATGACCTATGCCTTTCCCTGGTCAGTGGCAATACTGGGGTCCATGGGCACCATATAAGTGATTCCACTATGATCGCCAAAATGCCAAAAATAGGAGCAATGCCACTCGCCATGACCAGTGCGTATGGCTACGAATGAGACAAACAACAAACTGTTACTCCATACTTGGATGAACACGCTACACATGCTTCCCCAACCCTTATGGAGCCCGTATCCACACAGGATGAGGCTATACTACCTCCCCCACCAATGCTGTTGGATGATATCTTAAAACTTCAAGACCTCTTCAAATGAGCTGCCAACGAGTTGAGGATTAACCTGGAAGAAGTTTCTGAAAACCAGCATGAGTTGACTGACATCCTGCAACCTTCCTCCACATCCAAGATTACCTTACCTATAAATTCAGCCATTATGGATCCTGCCAAAACCATATGGCAGGCACCGGCTACTAGCACACCTACCTGTAAGCAAGCTACCTGGAAATATTTTATTCCTTCTAAAGGGTCTGAGTTCCTTTTTACTCACCTACCGACAAACACATTGGTAGTAGAGGCAGCTAACCAAAAGAACAAACACCAGTTTCCCAGGTCTACCCAACTGATAAAGACAATAAAAGGCTGGACCTGCTTGGTCGTAAAGTGTATGCTTCGTTCACATTACAATTCTGGATATCTAATTATGCTGCCGTTCTGGCAAAATATGACCACAAAAATGATGAGAAACTCATGGACTTTATTGGTGACATTCCAGAGGGCAACCCCCCTCCCCCCACATCAGTTTAAAGCCATAGTCTCTGAGGGACAAATCGTCTCCTGGACCGCACTACAAGCTGGGCTTGATGTTGCTAATACAGCTGCGAGGTCCACTTTTACAGCAGTCGTGATGCGTCGAGCTTCATGGCTTTCATCGTTGTCTTTTCCTCCTGAGGTTCAGAATACCATAGAAGATCTCCCCTTTGATGGTGAAAAATTATTTGCCAGTAACACCAATGATGTGCTTCACTCCATGAATGACTCGAGAGCGACATTACAGTCTCACAGTATCCAAACCCATGCAAACAGGAGGAGACAATATAGATACCAACCTTACAAACATCCATGCTACCCAACGTATACTCAACAAAGTCATTGACCATATAAACAACAATGTCAGTGACCAAAATATCAATGTCGCCTTACCAATTCATCGGCTCCATGTCAACCCCCTCCCACTAATAAGCAAATTTGAAGATGTGATCGGAGGTATAGAAAACATCATCCCTACTTCAGTGCCCATTCCCTTCCTATCTTTGCCCCCTCCCCTTTCACCACCCCCTGTCCCTTTTCAGGGACCCCTCTCACAAACAGCTTCTCCACTAAGAGGTGCATCACCACCTCCAGTTAGGAGCAGTAGAACCAGTGCCTGACCAACACAGAGGAAAAGGGTGGTTCTCCCATTACTTTTTAACACAAAAGAAAACAGGGGATGGCGACCCATTCTCGACCTCAGATGCTTCCAATAAATTTGTTAAATAATTTTTTTTTAAATGACTCTTGTATCCATAATTCCAGCACTGGAACAGGGAGATTGGTTTTCAGTCCTCGACCTGCAGGATGCTTATGTTTCTGTGACCATACATCCTGCCCAGACATTTTATTCACTTCGTTCTGGGCTCACAACTCTACCAGCACAGGATCCTACCTTTTGGCCTCTCGACTGCGCCTCGTGTCTTTTCCAAACTTCTCACAGTCATAACAGCTCATCTAAGAAGGCAGGGAATCATAATTTTTACTTACCTCAACAGTTGCCTTTTCAAAGCCAGGACCTACCAAGAAGCCATTCAGTCCACACAACGGACAGTCCAATGTTTTCATGCTCTTGGTCAAATGAACAAAGAAAATCTACACTTACTCCCACCCAACAACTGGAGTTCATAGGAGCAACTGTTGACTCAAGCAAAAGAATAGCATCTCTCCCGCTCCACCTGTTTAACACCATCAACCTTTTCATTCCCAAGCTGTGCAATAGTCCACAAGTGGCTGCACCAGCTTGCCTACAACTCTGAGGCCACGTGGCCTCTTCCACTTTTGTAGTCAGGAATGCTCACCTCTTCATGAGGTGTTTCCAAAGCTGGATGTCCACTGTCTACAGTCCAAATATCCGTGGTCTGAACAAACTTTTATACATACCTCCCAGAGTCAAGGACTCCCTTATTGCCTCACAATCTTTGCTCTGAGGTCCCCTTTCTACAGGATGTCCTGTCGGTTGTCATAACTACAGACACATCCCTTACGGGATAGGGAGTACACATGCCCCAATACACTGCCCAAAGGCTTGCGTCTCCAGCCGAGATGTCCCTTCACATCAACATTTAGAACTCTGAGAGATACGCAATGCCTGCCTCCAATTTCTCCCCTTCATACAAAACCAACATGTCAGGATAATGACCGACAACATTGCCTGCATGTTCTATGTAAACAGGCAAGGGGGCAGCGTGATCCTACTCCCTTTGTACAGAAGCAATGGAACTGGTGTCTCAGACACAATGTCTGAATATCAGCTGCATATTTCCCTGGCTCTTTCAATACACTGCGACGACCTCAGCAGAAAATTTCCCATAGACCACGAATGGGAACTAAACGAGGATATAGTACTAGACATATTCCACACATGGGGTTACCCAACCACAGATCTTTTCACAACTGCAGCAAACAAGAAATGCCCAAGATTTTGTTCCAGAGCAGGACTAGGCAAACACTCCTCGGGGGATGTGTTCATGTTCCCATGGAATACCGACGTAATGTATGCATTTCCCTGATACTGCTCATACACAAATTACTGATAAAAATTCGAACAGACCAAGCCAGGGTCATAATGATATGGTCCAGATAGTCATGGTACCCTTTTTTTTTTTTTACCAAGATGTCGCTTTCCTCATGCATCCCACTACCCCTCTGTTTGAATCTCTTGTCCCAACAACACAGTCTACTACTCCACCCCACTTTAACCATGTTGCACCTCAAGGTTTGGTTCCTTTATGGTTCTCTCATGCTGAGCGAACTTGCTCGGAGCAGGTTCGAAATGTACTCTAAGCACAACAAATTCTACATGCACCACTTGCCTTCATAACCAGACAAGATTTACACACTGGTAGGCTGTCACAGAAACTGCTCCTTTTTTCCGCGCCTCTCCCACTAATCCTCAACTATCTGTTAGAGATTAAACTCTCTGGACTCTCCCTGAGTCCCATCAAAGTCCACTTGGCCCCAGTTACAATGTTCCTTGATGCCATCAACGATAGGACTATCTCTGCTCACTCCATTACTAAGCAATTCCTTAAGGGACTTCAAACCCTATACCCAGACATCAAACCGCCTAATCC